AAAAAACATGGGGTTTTTTTAAAAAAAAAAAAAAAAAAACAAAAGGACATCAAGAAGTTGATTAACTTATAGATGTCACAAATACAGAGCAAGTTGACAACTTGGAAATGTTACATTATATTGAAACATGAAAGCTAACCTTGTCTTCCAATCTTTGAATTTTATCAATTAGGAACAAGTACTCTGTCTCAAGAATCTCTCGTTCAAATTGAACTCCTTTTGAAGCTGCAGCCTACAAAATTAACACAAAATTGATTACAAACTGGCTGGGTTGGTGAAAAGAGTTTAATAAGAACCAGATAAAGCATATAACTCTGTACAAGGACTGTAGGATCCTCCACAACCTTTATTTGTGCACCAATATGATCACAGGAAGAATGTGACTCACCTGGTTTAGAAATGTTTCAGTCTGGTGAGTCTTGGAGATCCTCCTCCTGAGATCTACAAGGAGAAAAGGAGACTCAACAATTCATATGTGCATTAGAAAGTGATTTTATGCAAGATATACTTCATCTTAATGATCAAATTATCCTTGATATCCATGAAGATCACAATTGGTTAAATACAAATAATCAATTTATGGTATCATATTTGTGCTGGTTGAGATCAATTTGAAGTATAAAATACAGTGCCACTATCTCATCTACAACTGAAAAGCTCAAGTTTTTTAATGTTTTGTATTCTTGTTATCTAAGTAACACATGATTTATGCTGATGAAGCCAGGAGAAAAAGTTCTTAATAAGTACAGCTAAAGGGGCAACGGTTGAAAACAGAAAATAGAAAAACGAAAGAAAGAAAATTTGGAGCCTGTCAGAGTTCTGTGATAGTGGGGCGTAAACAGTTTAATAATAGGTGTTGAGTTAATATTGAGAGTGATGCTAACATTAATGAACAAGATTAAGAAGAGACAAAGTACTTTCCCTGGTCATTAATCACTCTTGCCTTCAAACTCAAACATGAATACAGAATGACCCATTAGAGGGATTGAGGGAAAGGTTCATGAGCAAAATACATAATCTGTAAGAAACTATATTCTTAGGTTTCTCTCCAAAGAAAGTACGAAGACTGTTCTACAATTTGTTAATGTTTTAAATTTGACTTTCTCTGACGCTCTTGTGCACGCTGCATCCTTTCTTTGACGTCTGTTACAATCAATTCATTATTTATTATAACCAATAACAAACTTTAATCTAATTTCTGCAAGTCCAATTACTGATTAATTTCAAACTTGAGAGCTAATACTATTTTGGTTGCACGTTCCTAACACCTCAAACCTAACATTCCATTCCTGTAAGAAGTTCAAGGAATTTATCACCCAAGTCCAGCAACTGACTTAACTTCCATCACTAGCATGTGCCTAGCACATTTCCACTTCATAAACCTTCAGAATGTTGGTTTATTGAGATCTACATCCTGACAACAACCTTTACAAACGTTTTTTTCTCTTTCCTTCAATTATCCCATAATGAATTGACTGTAAAGACTGCTGATGCATGCTTTAACATTATCTCTATTTCAAATGCTTAACCCCACTTTTTTCAAGAACTGATTGAAACATAAAAGGACCATATACAAGATACATAGCAGGTTCATTAAAATAATCAGATCATAATCCAAGCGTGCACACCTTCAAGAGCCACTTCTTTTAATTCAAATTGTTGCCGGAGTTCTGCCACCTGATTAATCTAGTCACAAAAATACAAATAAAAATAAATAGAATTATTATGTGCATACATGTTGTACTATATACATCAAGAAAATTTCAAAATATAATCAGCTAAGGCTAGCATTGCACATGGTCCTTTAACAAAATAGCACACCAAACTAGAATAAAAGGCATGTATTAGAACTCGAGGGAAAAAGGCTATAATTAAGCAAGGTAGAGTTATAAAGCAAAGTATCAAAAATAGAAGTTAATAAACTTTCTTCTACTGTTATTCTATTGGGAAAGAATGCAATTTATTCAAAACAGACAGAGAATAACTCAAACCAGATTCTGAATGAAAAGGAAGGTAGATTAATCATAACCCAACCACTTGAATTAGAAGTCCATCATACCTCTAGTTCAAGATTCTTCTGTGCAGTAGCAAGGGATCTTGCAAGATCAGCATTTGTGGTCTGCAATCACATTGCTCTTTAGAGACAACTAATTTAACAAAAAATACCCATGCTTTCTATTAAAAAAATTCAAAGGATATAGAAACAAATACCAGTCTAACTACATCTAAAGTGCATATGAAACAGGCTAATGTACCTCAAGTTTAGCCAATCTAGAAAGAACTTCCATTCTAGTATTATTATGTTTCTGCTTTTCTAAGTCAACAGCTTCCATTGTTTCCATTGTCGTTGTCTGAAGCTCCGAAGCCTGTCAGAGAAAGAAGTCATCACACAATTACTGCTGGTAAGAAAGGATAAGTTGATAAAGGTTTAAATTCTACAAATGTAAATATCACATGGTAAGAATCAAAAGCACTGACCACCAATATGGTTTGCACTGTCTTACTTGACCATGTCACTTATAGCAAATTCTTAGTTTACAGTTGTCTTAGAGACATTGGTATTTTGAAAGATAAGTGGAAAGCAAAATCTGACCCAGGGTTAAGCCAATGCAAGCATAATCAAAAAGATATCGGCACCCCTATAAGTGAAATTTCAGCTTGGTCTATGTTTTTGAAGCTTGATATGAGCTAGGTCAGGTGGGTAGACTGGATACTATGGCTCTTGGAAAAAAACAGCTAGGGAGCCAATGTGGCGGGGGGGGGGGGGGGGGGGGGGTTGAAGTTTTCTAGGACCGGAAGCTAATTATAATTGCATAGAAGCAAGGCTTAAATCCTTGTACTTCATCTCAGACATCAGAAACCCACCAAGGCATGACCTGTCGAAGGAGCCTAATCCTTGTACTTCATCTCAGACATCAGAAACCCAGGCATGTCGAAGGAGCCAGAAAACTTTTCAACATCAGCCTTCAGTGCCTCAATGTCCTTCTCTTACAACTTTAAAATTTTGGAACTTTAAGAGTTTTTGCTGTATAAGAAGTGGGACCTGGGGCAATCTTGACAGGGAGGAAGGCTAGTACTAGCAATTTCAGCCACCCTGAACAGTAATTTGAAGTTTCTCCACCCACTTAAATCATTAGGTTGGATAGATTCGCTTTCTCAACAGAATTATAAATAGAATGGATTCCAGTTGATTTGATCAGCTCAATCCATTGTCCTATTATTTTCATCGATGTTCAACAATAACACGTGTATAGCAAGCAGCACGTAGAAAATTGACTCTAATTTTTTTGTTCACTTTGCTAAAATCAAGAATATGTTACGCGTTTTTGGACGTGCATTAAATCCAAAACAAAGGATTCTTAAAGGCCCATTCTTTCCAATCAAATATATCATGATCTAAATTACACTAACAATAAAGAAAACAAATCAACTATAAGAACAAAGTGAATGCCTAGTATTACCTCTTGTACTTGTTGTTTTGCTCGTTCTTCAAGTATTTTCTCCAAGCTCTGCTTCTCCCCTTCCAATCTGGCAACCATATTCTCCCGCTCTATGATGGCCTGCACAGCTTTAGCTGCCGCTCTTTCGGCCAAAATCTTCTTCCTTCTCTCCCTCTCCTGTTCACTTTCAGAATCAGATGATGAACCCGAATCACTATCTGAATCAGAGCTCTCATCGCTAGTCGAATCATTTTTCTTCAAATCATCCGAGACAGAGCTTCTAGATGCAGCCCGAGTTCCCTGCTTCCCTTTCACAGTACTTTTCAAGCGACCATAAACATCACCAACTCCCTTCTTCACATCAGATATCCCATCTATTTTCTCCGGTGCAGAAAGCAAAGCAAAATTCTTATTTGCCACATGCAAAACCTCCCCTTCCACCGCATCCTTGTTTTCAACACGCCCGCCATTTTCTTCACTTCCCTCATCCTTCCTTTCTCCAACTACCTCACTACCCACATTCTTATTTTGCTCCGGTCCTTTCCCATCCATAACCTTACCATCACTTGGCAACTCAACACTTGAAGACCTAGCTGATGAGCCAGACTCCTCTCCATCACTTGGTTTCCCATTCAACTTTAAATCCAACCTCTTTGATGTCACCCCACTGTTATTCTTATCACTATTAGCCCTAACCTTCTGATTCCTTTTCGCCTCGACCACGGACGAATTCGAAACCAAACTCCCTTGCCTCCTACCCTCCTTTCTCAACCCACGAATGGCAGGTGCCCCATTACTCCGATTTGGCGAACTTGCATTCTGACTCGGAGGAGTGCCAAGTAGCTCAGTCCAGTCACTATCAGTAAGCGTTGCCCTAGGTTTGGGAGAAATTTTCGGGACATTCAAAACCTCCTTATCATTGACACTACCAACAACATTGTTATGAACAACATTATTCTTATTCTTATTAATAGCAAAATCAGCATTCAATTTTCCGTTGTATTCATTGTTAAATTCAAGTGTTTTCTTCTTTAATTGATCCTTTAAAGACAGAGAACCCCCGGCTTTCGCTGGGAGATCAAATTTCTGATCATCGTCAGATCGTGACTGTTCGTTCTTCTTCAAAGATTCTGCTGCTTGCTGATCGATCTGAACCGTTGATCACCAAAAAGAAAGCAGAAAAAAAACTAATTATCATCCAAAAAATTATAAAAATAAAAAACAAACTGTAATAACAGCAGCACAATGACATTGAAAATAAAACCAAAATCATAATAATGACGATGACGATGATGATGATCTGTTTGGCTTGTGAAAAAAAATAAAAAAGAGAGGAGAAAAGAGGAATTTGGCTTGCCTGTTCGAAGAAGGTTTCGGCGACTTTGAGCTTTGAAGAGATCCAATTCGCCATTCTCCCTCTCTCTCTCTCTCTCTTTGTTCTTTTTTTGGAGTTGAAATTAGTGAGTGTGAGGTTGTGGTTTCCGCACAAGACACATTTTAGCAAACCGCATATAATTTTGATTTGCAGAGAAGCGAAGAAAAATGGGGAGAAGGGATATAGGTGTTGTTGAAGAGGTGAAGCTAATGTAACGGGTAGGTGAGATATGTGAGGGTGGAAGGTGTGGTCTGTGAGGAATGGAAAGGAGACCGGGATGTGATTGTTGTGGTTTTACGCAAGTGAGAGTAGAATGTAAATTGAGTTGGCACGTGTGGGGATTATGACACAGTAACGTTTCAGACAAGAGAGAGAGATAAACAGATGGATAGTGGATACAAGAGAGTCGAGGGAATTTGCCTTTTTGGTATTGCATTTTAATCGTACTTGTTTATGTTTAAAAAACATGCTTGTTTTAGAAATACAATATATTAATATTTTCAATATCAAATAGGTTAGATATTAAAAGTTTTAAAAAAATTATTTTAATATATTTTTAAATATAAATTATTTTTAAAAGATAATATATACCATAATATCAAACACATAATAAAAAAAACTAAAATAGATTTTATTTAAGTTTGCTTGTAGATAATTCAAATGTTTGATTTCTAATGTGGTTTTTTTATTTCTTGTTCAATTCTAAGATTTATTTTATTATTTTCAATCTAAATCTTACTTGAAAAAAAAAATTAGTTATTGATGGAGATAGAATTTATGCTATACCATGGACTATCCAAATTTTTCTAGCATAAAAAAGATACCAATAAACATAAGTGTTAATAAAAGCTAAAAAATCAAAGATGGTACAAATAAATTTAATAAATTTGGTTAATTTAAATAATATAAATAAAAAAAAAGCAATGATAATATATAAACGGACAAGAAAATAACAACAATGAAAGGTCAGGAAAACCTGGTCTTAGCCTATTCAAATTAGAATGTCAAATCTACAACTTAATTATGATAAAAGGATAACCTTGTAAAAATTAGACTGAGTAAAACTATAAAGGTCGATTATTAAATAACTTGATATTGAAGGGAAAAATTAAAAAAAATTTCAATTTCATCTCTCAGTATTTAATTTTAAATTATTTTATATCAAATTCATTTATCATTCTTTTTATTGTTATTTCTTTTGTTTTGGTTTCTTTTTTATTATTTTTTTAATTTTATCTTTCAATATTTTGTTGAAATAGAATTTTACTTTGTTATTTTTTAGGATTTGCCTTGTATGAGTTTAGTCTTGGGCTTATGATCGGGATCATAAGTTTCAAAAGTCAACATATGTTGATTTTAGTATTTTTAGGTCCTTTTTAAAAATTAATTTTTTTTTCAATTTCATCCTTCAACATTTGATTTATTGAAAATTGGTTGTCATGTTTTAATTTTCATTTTATGGATGTCACACGTATGCAGCATCGCGACAATCATCCATCCTAAAAAAATTGTATATGGTCTTTTTCTGACAAAATATGGAGAGATAAAGAATTCTTGTCTTTTATCAGTAGAAAATTGAAATGGGAGTCGCCACCTAGTATTCTGGTCACTATGAACCTAATTGGTCGTAGAGATCGGGTATGAAGATTAGTTGCTGAACCTAATTGATCGTAGAGATCGGGTATGAAGATTAGTTGCATAAAAAGAAGGTATTAACACCCTAAATACGCCTAACTTAAAGTAAGTTGCATTGTTTTATTGCCTGATAAAATCTGAAGTCATATTTTGTTTTCTAATTTGTCGGTCTCTTTAAGGTTAAAGAAAAGTCCACCTCTGTAAAGAGATCCTTATCTTATTGGGTAAAAAAACCTAATTGTTCTATGCTGGCAATGAAAAAACATACCTTTTTAATATCAGGAATACTTTTTTCATATAAATTCATAATTCCTGAAATTTTGACCAATGTTGTTTTTATAATTTTGGCTAATATTCTCTTGACTTCAATAAACTGATTTTTAAAGTTAAAATGCATGCTATAACATTATTTTTTTGGTGTATGAGAAACACAACATGATTTTTTTAGCTTTTTTTAAATTTTTTTGTATTTTGAAAGTTTTGACCAAAACTAAGTATTTTAATATTGAATTTTTAATAAGTATTTTAATATTGAATTTGTATTTTTACTAAGTATTTTAATATTGAATTTTTATTTTTACGACATAAAATGCAGACCAATATTAAGGAAAAAAGACATAAATCAAAAGGTGGAAAATCACAAATATTAAAAGAAACATAAATTTTATTTTATTATTTTTTTTGAAATGGGTCAGACCCGACCCAGAACCAAATGGACTAGTTACTGTGTCTAAGCACAATAACTAACCCTCTATCATTTGCTGCAAAAAGTGATTATTCACATCTTGCATGTAAATGCAGACGGCGACTGAGCAAAGGAGAAAGAGACAGGGCAGCTAAAGGTTACCCTGGGAGTGGTGCAACCTGAGCTTGGCCGTTAGTGGCTGCGGCGGTGTTGTTATCGAGTTGTAAGGACTGCGGTGGGCGGCCATGCTTCTCCTTCTTCTTCCTCTCCCTCCTCTATTTTTTTTCTTTCTTTTGTTTTCATTCTCCCCTCTCTTCTCTTGTCTTTTGTTTTGCTTCCTTTCTCTCATTAACTTCCCTCCTTCTCTTTTCCTGTTTGTGCTCCTCTGCAATTTTGATTTAAAAATCAATGCAATTGTGTCTCTGCCAAAAATCAAACAGAAGCCCTGAAGTTAGTCGTATTTTTCACTTTGGTCCTTGATTTTGAATTTATGCAATTTGGCCCTCAATTGAGCAATAATCTTCTAATTTTTCTAATTTGGCTCTTGATTTGGTGTAATTATAACGCCTCTATTTATGCAAGTTTTTTCATTTTTATGCATAAACTTCAATATTTATGCAATCAAGCCCTTGATTTGACCAAATTAACTCTTAAAATTTATAATTTGACCCCAGAACTTTAATTTCTTCCAATTAAAGCCCAAATTGACTCCAAAATAAATTTTTCTTGCAATCAAACTTTCCATAAATTCAATTAAACCTTTAATAAAATTTAATTGAGTCCATAAACTTTTGATTTTGAACTTTTTTTTCTTAAATTGAATTTTCTTTATGAACAAGGATCTTATCAGTCAATAAAATACCATCAAATTTTACTCTTTGTATTTTGAACCCCCTCAACCAATTTTTAACCATTTTTTGAGCGTTTTGACATTCTTTTCTCATTATTCTTATTTTTTAACTTTTTTTTAATACATATTTTTTATTTTTTATGTTTTTTTCTTGTGCGGGGGCTCAAAAATAAGTTATGACAGTTGCTCCCTCTTTACAATGCTTACGGAGCAAAGATTTTGCATAGTAAGTGTTGAAAAGATAAAAAAAACTATATTTATGACACTGATCTTCTTAAAACTTGGTTGACCAGAAACCTTATTCGGCGATTCCTTTGTATCAAAATTAAAATATAATTATGGTTGGGTTAAACTTAGATTTATTTCGCCAATCTCTTTTAACTAGAATCAAAATCCGGTGTATGGTTGGGCTAAACTAAGATTCCTTTTGTCAATCCCCTTTAACTATAACCAAAATCCTGTGTGGTTGGGCTAAATTGAGATTCCTTTCGCCAATCCCTTTAACCAGAATCAAAATTCTTTGTGTGGTTAGGTTAAACTAAGATTCCTTTCACCAATCTCTTTTAACCAAAACCAAAATTCTGTGTGTCCAAACCATTTATTTTTTGAAGAAAGATGGTCTATATTCATGGGCGGCCTGTCCATACCATTTATTTTTTGAAGAAAGACGGTCTATATTCATGGGCGGCCTGCCCACGCACTCACACGTAGCCTAGTCTATTTTCATGGGCGACTTACCTATACATACGTAAAATGATCTATTTTCAGAGGCGACCAGCCCACACACTCACACTTATCCTGGTTTATTTTCATTGGCAACCTTTCCAAACCTACTCAAAGTGGTTTATTTTCAAGGGCGACTTACCCAAGTAAAAAAAGAAGGAGTGGTCTTATTGTAATGAGTGACTTACCCAAGTGGAGGAATAATCTCATTGTAATGGGTGACCTACCTAGATAAAAATATAGAGAATGGTCGAATTATAATGGGTGACTTACCCAAGTGAAGGAATAGTCTCATTGTAATGGGTGACCTACCCAAGTGAAGGAATAGTCTCATTGTAATGGGTAACCTACCTAGAAAAAAACATGGAGAATGATTGAATTATAATGGGTGACCTACCCAAGTGGAAAAAGAAAAAGTGGTCGTGTTGTAATGGGTGACCTACCCAAGTGAAGGAATAGTCTCATTATAATAGGTGACCTACCTAGATAAAAATATGAAGAATGGTCGAATTGTAATGGGGGACCTACCCAAATGGAAAAAAAAAAAAAGTGGTCGTGTTGTAATGGGTGACCTACCCAAGTGGAGGAATGGTCTCATTATAATGGGTAACCTACCCAGATAAAAAAAACATGAAGACATGGTTGAAGTGTAATGGGTGACTTACCTAGGTGGAAAAAAAAAAAACAGTGATCATGTTGTAATAGATGACTTATCCAAACAAAAACATGGAGAATAATCGAATTGTAATGAGTGAGCTACTCAAGTGGAAAAAGAAAGAGTGGTCGTGTTATAATGGGTGACCTATCCAAATGGAGGAATGGTCTTATTGTAATGGGTGACTTACCTAGATAAAAACATGGAGAATGGTTAAATTGTAATGGGTGATCTACCCAAAATGAAAAAAAAAAAGTAGTCGTGTTATAATGAGTGACCTACCTAATTAGAGGTCTCATTGTAATGAATGACCTACCTAGATAAAAAAAAAAACATGGAAAATTGATCAAATTTTAATGGGTGACCTACCCAGAAAAGATGAGTGAGGGCTCTAAGGCTCATTTAAAAGGAGGTGGGGTTAGAAAACACATTATCTAAGTGGTGATGGATTACTAATTTGCTGAAAAGTTGAAAACCATGCATTAATGATTGATATGTATATATATTTACCTTAGAAATATAGGCCCCCATTTCTTTATAGTGTCTTTCTTTTTCTCAAAAGTTGGAGTGTTAGTAGTAAACTTCAAAGGCCTTTTCACCCTTGCTTACTCGAGTCACATATTGTGATCTTGACTTCTAAGAAGGGCTTAATGTTATCATATTTCTTTAT